TGTGTCAGTTTCCTTCACCCCAAAAACTGTCTTCTTTGCTACCACTGGGATTCGTGAGGAATGTTGTATTCCAAGGCGCTCCCGCAACGACATACCGCTACCGGCAGCATTTACGCCAGTCAGCTCCAGAAACTAGCGGACGCTGTTCAAGAAAAACGACCGAGACGAACTTCTGTCCACCTACTCCACGATGACGCCAGGCCCCACATAGCTAAAGAGACCCGTGCAAAATTGGAAGAGCTGATCTGGGACGCGGTTCCCCACCCACCCTATTCCCCTGACATTGCCCTCTCTGATTATCACTTACTTCATCCCCTTAAGGCATTCCTAGCGAAGAAAAAATTCACCAAAGTTGAAGACGTTGAAAGAGCGGTCAGCGATTTCTTTGACTCTCAGTCTGCTCAGTTCTGGAGAAGGGGGTCGCTGACCTTACGCGACTTGAAGGAGCTGACGGCTTCTAAATAATCTGTCAGACCAAAACTCTCTGTACGTCCTGAGCTTCGTTGCGCACATGAAGCACTAGATAATGCTCAGGCTCTTGCCAATATTGATAATGCTTTTTAGTTGGTCGAGAGGTTGGTTACCACTGAGATAATTCTTTCATTCGGACACTAATAGAAAATACACGCGTCGGCCCCATCCTCCCGAGTCGGTTCCTTACCCCTTGTTCTTTTATTTGAAATACGGCTATATATTGATTCTTGTTTGTTTGATCACCCTGTCATATGTTTCATATTAGTGGTATGATTCCTTTTAAATTTTGTTCGTTATTTTTGTCTTGGTAATCCAATAACCTATTTGGCTTGATCATCCGTGAAAACCTTGCCCTAGCCCAGAGGTGGACTCTGCTTGTAGCGTTGGCAACTCGAGCGCACTATTAGGCTTATTCAACCGACGACCGACGACCTGATTCAGTGACATCAGGGGTCATCAATATTCTTCTTTTTTTTCTCGCTAGCGTTAGCCCCGCGCAGTCGCAGGGTCCGATGCCTTTCGTTCAGTTATCGCCACTTTGCTCTGTCCAGAGCATCATCTACTGTGGCTGTAACTTCAATTAAGTCCTTTTTGAATGAGTCTATCCACCTCCTTTTTGAGGTCAGATGCCTTTTGCTTCCATCGCTTCTGCCTTTCCTTAGCTCGGGTGGCTCTGTAGTCCTTCATTAGCCGTCGAATTGCCACCATCACCGTCGCGGACACCCCCCCCCCCCCCCCCCAACACGTAGCCTCAGCTGGGCAAGGGCAGTTTGCATTACCGCTCTAACATTCTTGTTTCCTGCCTTGGCCAGTACCGTCCACCAGCAAGCCAAGCTCGGCATTCTCATTTCAGCGGATAGAGGAAGCCGTCCCTGGTTCGTGTTCAGGGGCCGCACTCACTGCGTGTAATTCTTTTATACCAAGACCCTGTCGATCGCACCCAAGAAGCCTGCACTTTCGAGCACGACCTCCACAGCAATGGCGCTGCCAGCATATGGAGGGCATGTGGAAGCCGTCAACCTATTATCAGCAGCCTCCGATCTTGGGATAGGGGCAGACCACTTTCATCCACCGGTGTCAAAACTCTGGTCCCTCGACTTCATCAGGCTTCCGAAGCCACAGTAGGGTCGCAAAGCCCCCAATGAGTCCAGACCTTCCATTTCATTCTCAGCGCGTGTCGAACAAGGATCCGGAGGTTAGCACCAGGGTCGCGGAGCTACCGAGGGAAAATTGAATAACACCCCCCCCCACACCCACATGCAGCCGGAGCCGAAGTCCATGAAACACCCCATTCGCGAAACTAAGAATTGGCTTTCTTAATTATCCCCACACGCTAACACCCAAAAGCCGTGCTCACGCCCCAATTCCGTGTTTAAGAAGTACAAAAAGAAAAAGTCAAAGAATGATCACTATTGATGAGTCCTACCAAACGAGCAAACGAGAAACAGACCAAAAACGACAAACTAGCCATTAAAAATGGCATACTATGACAATATCTGTCTTTTATAGGTGCTAACTTAGTTGTTGGGGGGGGGGGGCCACGCGGCGGCGCGGCAGTCTGCTCGCCTGGCATGTTCGGAAATCCGTGGGCCAGGGGGAGTGTAGCCAGTCTAGGGGGGTGGGGGGTGGGGGCAGTCACTTGACATGCGTGAAAAGCTGGAATGTTCGAGTTTACACTGTCTCGTTAGAGAGAGCCCAGGTGAGCCAGACTGCCGCGCCGCCGCGTGGCCCCCCCCCAACTAAGTTAGCACCCCTTTTATTTCCTCCACAAGAACTTACCTAAATTCAGTAACACACTCCAGATGGGTTCTCAATTTTGCACCAAGAAGCTTTTCTAAACCCGCCTTCGCCAGCTGTGTGTTGACCTGGCCACTTTGGCGCTTAGACCTGGAGCAAGCAGCTTATTTACTATTGAAATTTGAACACAAATATTCAAATGATTATAACTTTCTTCAAATACGAATTTTCAATCTGAAAGCAGATTTGGAAGTTTTGTGAAGAGCTTTTTCTAATCAGTACTGAAATTACAAAAAGTTATAAGAAATAACAAATTTTAGATCAAATAACGAGGAAAATTCGAGACGAGCACGAGTTTTTACACTTTCCGGAGCAATAACTTGCTTCATTTCCGTCAAATTCAAAAAGTTGATACGTCATACAAAACTAGAAGATTTTCTCTATCAAACGGTTGCTAAAGCAGCTTCATACGTCCAGTATTCAAAAAATGGCCACGTTGAGGATTTTTGCAAAATTAACGAGGAAAATTTGTGATGAGTGCGAGTTTTTTTACTTCCTAAAGCCATAACTCCGTTCAAACTCATCCAATCCGAAAAGTAAATACGCCATCATAAACTAGAAGATTTGCTCTATCAAATGCTTACTAGAACTGCTCCAAACGTCCAGTATTAAAAAAACGGCTACGTTGAGGATTTTTGCACGAGTACCGCCGAAAGGTACTTTTTCGCTACATTGGCACTATTTCAACGGCTGTATAACCCTTCCCCGCTTTTCTCCCCTTTCTAAGTAGCAGTGAAGTTGATTACGCGTTTCTCCACTCGAATCTGCCGTTTAAAGGTTAACATAGTTTATAAATATCCCCCCTCGAGAGTCCGTTAACACAGACAGTGTTGAATGGTCGCCCTACACCTCCCTCGTCAATAGCCGCACCCGCACACACTTTCAAAATTCCCCCGAATTGTTTCCGAATTTTGTTGTTTGTCCCAAGACCACCCCCCCGCGCCGCCCGTAGTTGAAGCGTCGCGCCCACAACTAGACCCCCCACTCTCGGATCGCGCCGTGTACCTCACATCCCATCCCTTCCGATTCGGGGTCTTACTTGAAAGATGAAATATCTCTTGGAAAGCGTGCGAAATTCAGATTCTTTAACTTGTGTGGTGATAAAACACTGAAGTAACTAAGAATTACCGGACGCCTCAGAATCACGAAAATTTTGTGTGGGTGAAATATCATTTTCATTGGAAATCCTCTGGCCTGGCATCGACTCATCCTTGATATTTGTCTTCCGACGGTGATGATCCCACTGCATCAAAATGGCTCGATCTCTTCCACCCAGCGGGCCAATACGACCCCCCCTGCGACGTGTCGAGGATTCCTCAACGCACGCTTGACCCTGGGCCACCCGCAGCCCTTGTGCCCGACTCCGAGTGCACCGCAATCCCACAATCGTCGCTCCTCACGCTCCGCCACAGGAGTGCCCGACTCAGATGGATCCTCATTCTGAACCGATACCACAGCCGCTCAAGCGGGTACCCATGTGTCCACCCGTTCTTCACCCCAAACACTGTTTCTTTTGCTACACTCTGGGATTCGTGAGGAATGTTGTATTCCCAGGGCGAACCTCCAGGTTTCGGAACGTGTAGACTTACCTGCTGGTGTAATTTGAACCTTCAGTGATTTCTTGCTTGCCTTCAATCGTTAGAGTTCGGCCATCGATGTTCACCTTCAGTTCATCTGGCTTGAATTTCGACACATCCAGTGAAATCGCCAGCTTTGACCCGTCGTCGGTAACCTAAAACGGGGTTTCACTTGCAATGTAGGTACAGAGCGCACACGGAAACGCTATAAAACATCACATACCTTGCCTAAATGTCCTGCAACAGCTTTCCTTCCCTTCCTTCGCGCAACAGAGTGGATTGGTGGCTCAATCTGGGCGAGCTCGTTGAAAGCGTCGTCGATCTCGCTGAAGACGTCGTCGAGGAGACGAGGGAGGATCGCCGTCTCGCCAGCCCACGGGTGAATGCAGATCGCCATTGTAGATTGCTTCGAAGATTAACCTCAGAACGCTGGAGTCACTGCTCTCGGACCTGCTTATATACCGTTCGGAGGGATTCTTCGGGAAATTTCGAGAACCTTCTCGCCCCGCCCCTTCCCGTCACCGCGCCGGCGGTGAGTCACGCGAGTGGGCGGGGCCTCGCGAGACAGCGGGGCGCCGACAAAACAACAAACAAATGCGCTCCAGAAGGTTCTCGAAGATCACCCGTGAGGGTATATAAAGAGCTCACCGGAGCTGCTACTAATCAACTTCATTTGTGTTCTTTCTCGAGCAGTGAGCGTTGCTGGTGACTTTCAAGGTATTGTTTTCATCTCTACAACTGCTTTTCCCTGTACTGCTCTTATCCCGTAACAAACCCATACCAAAGCGATATTTCAGTTATTTCCAATCGATCAGTATGGATTTGTGTGTGATGCCCCGTCTGATGAATCGTGTGATGTACGACGCCATGAGGGATTTCGATCGTTTAGAGAGAAGCATTTTCCCGTACTGGCGAGAGGCTGACCATTCGGTGCTTCACGTGGCCAACGAAACTCAGCAGGTATGGATAGTTTTAGCCTGACAGGCGTTTTGGAGCTGTTTCGAGATTCATTTAAATTGCAGATTGTTGATGACGACAAAAAATTCGCCGTCTCTTTGGATGTGTCGCAGTTCCGCCCAGAAGAGTTGAACGTTCAGTTGGAAGGGCGTGAGCTGACCATCGAAGGAAAGCAGGAGCACAAAACTGAGAAGGGCGCCATTCAGAGGTAAGTTCTGGCAACTTCCCACAGGTCCTATGCGTAAAATGTTTACTGATCGCTTGGGATGTTTCAGATCATTCACCCGCAAATGGCTGCTGCCCGAAAACGTCGATCTGGAGGCGGTTCCGTACCCAGCTGAACGACAAGGGCCATTTGTCGTGGAGGCGCCGAAGAAATGAGGGCCGGACAGACGAAGAGAGAGAACCCAATAATCAGTGAAAGTTCAAATTAAGCACGCTAGCGAAGGTGGTCTCGCAAGTTATCGAATCGCATGGTTAGCGGCATCTGTCCTGAAAATCAGCTGAATCCTCTCTGTTTGGCAGGATATTCTTCGCGATGGACTACTTCTGAAAAAGATGTTACGCCGTCGAGCAGTATGCGATCACCGCTGTCGAAGGTCAGGCAGCATCGAGTGACTAAGCTGAAAGTCAGGGCCGTACGCAACCATCCAATGGCAAAACATCCGATCAGTCAGGTCAATTTAGTTGCTAATATACGGGTGTCTGTTGGTGGCGCTTGAGTTGTTTTTACCGATTTGTTGTCCGCGGCAGGACCATTCATTAGGAATCTTCTGACTGATACTTGTAATGGTGTAATTTGAATGAGTGGATTATATCTTTTTATGTAATTACTAACCATTAATGGGATAAACATAATGTTTATGATGGTGGTGTTGTACGAGGTATGTGGAACGGGACAGCTCAGCAATGGAAAGGAAGTCGCCAGAAAGCAAGCGCGTGAACGTTATGTTCACCTTGGATGTTGTAGGGTGCTGTAGAAAGGTCACTACCGGTCGCGCTTCATGAGATAATTTTGTAACGTCTATTCATCATCCATAGATCTTGAAGAAGCGTTCTACTGTCATGAACCGCACACAAAGAGTTGCACGCGCCAGAGGATCTTGAATATGTATATTATTTTTGAAAGGGCCCAATTTGGCATGGCATGGAAAGATATAGTGATTACACGGTTAACCTAGGGTGAGTATGGCGTCGCGAAATCTCTGATAGGGAATTCGCATTTGTCAGGTAGGTGAGGTACGTACTCGTGGGGTCCACTAACGCTAATGGCAGTGAGGTGCATCGGTAGGAGTGGAGCGGCAGCAGAAACAGGATATGAGAAAGAGGATATAAGAATATCCTTTGCAGGTTTGTCGCCCCAGCCTCTCACTCGAGAGTAGCTATTTTTGATCAACAGCAAGTACACGAAGATAAAAGTGGCAATCTTTGCAAGGAATTAAAACATGTGCAAAGGCGCTGCGACAAACATTTCCTATATCTACCCCGCCCGCTCCCCTCCCCTAAAGTTGTTAGGAAAACGACTGTCCGAAAAAAACACAACGTGAAGGGAGGGCGCTGGCGAGCTAAGTAGTCGTTGTAGCTATATGGAAAATAATCTATATAATAAAGATATATACAAGTAAAGATCATAGAATGACACCTCCATCGGATCGCTAACTTCGAATGACATGAGACCTAGGTACGGACTGAACAACACTCTGGATGTTGAGATTGCTAGGCGGACTGTGTTGAATTACTGAATTATGTTGGCAGGAAAGTGTATTAAAAAAGCCTTCGAGCGGCTGGCGAGCGAAAAATGCGAACCCACCTGCAAATCGTGGCAACAGGGCAGGATCCGAAGAGCGCCGACAAACACATTCTCGGCGTAAACGAAGATTTTGAGCGAAATTAGTGAGTCTCTCAACTAAGAAAGAATAACAGACAAGCCACAAAAGACTCCCCGCAGAAAGCAGGAGAGCTTTGCGCCTTGTTCCAGGAGGTTCCTGCCTGTCTCCAAGGTTCATGAGAATGTGAGAGAGTTTTAGTGGAGATCATTCCAAATATTATGGTAGGCGATAGCTAGGCAATCCGAGGTGTCTTATCTAGACGCTAGCCACGTCCAAAGAGCTGTGAACGGAGAATGGAAGTCGCTTTTACATATGGAAGAGTGTAGCGTTTCAGTATGGTTTAGAGAGTGTTTGGTCAATATCTAACTCACAGATTTATAGCTTGCATGCTGGATGCTTCTGTTCCTTTTTATGGATACTCGCTTTTATTTCACATAAATCAATATTAGATGGTCATATTTAATGAATTCATGTGAGGGGAAGGTCGCTCTGTAGGGTGACTTACAGATTCGATCTCACGATTTCGACCCTGTTCCGGTCACTGGTTGACAACTTGTCTCTTGCGGGTTTAGCAGCGGCTTGCGTTTTCATAATCTCACTAAATCGTACATGCTGATAATTTTGCTTTTGCTGCTATTATCCTTTGGCATTTTGCTGGTCCTGCTTGCATTATTTGTTTGCAGCTTTTAAAACAGACGACTGCACTTTCCTTGACGGTCCCGCCACTCTGTTAGAGAAATGTTGATTCAGCGTCCGATCTCTGCATTTACACCATCCCCTCCGCTGTGAATTAAATTCCTATCATCTCTCCCTCCTACCTCCCCCCCTCGTTCTTATCGGACCGTCGGACGGTAGATGCTTCATGACATTGAGCTAAGGACGAGGACCCTCAAAGAGGAGTTGGAAGAAAGCCGTAAGGAAAGACCTCATAGGCACCGGAAAACTTAGTGGTGTATTCCTACGCACTGAATTTCGGCCAGCCACTGGAGGGGAGTTTCAATCATTGTCCACATATATTCTCTTCGAACATACTCCTATCCATTCCAAACTTGACCCGCCCTCCCTAGGTGATTTTTGAAGGAAGAATTATAAACATGTGGGGGACACTTGCGAATTTTTGGGGAGCGGTCAGACAAACAAACTCTGGTTTATATAATAGTATGATAGGGGGGTGATCTATGGTCTATTCAACCCCCATTACCTGGTTTTTTGGATGTTTTTGGACGAAAAACGCCTATTTTTTCACGAAAAATTTTACTTTAAGCGCAACGCCCCGCCCACTGGAGGCGGAGTTTAGCATGGCCAATATATTCCCCTTATAGAGCGGTAAGTACCCTATTAAGGCCCTTTTTCCTGTCTTTAGACTGTTCTGAAGCCAAAAACTGCAATTTTTTCACCAAATTTTTTAATTTCGACGCACGCCCCGCCCACTGGAGGCGGAGTTCAGCATGGCCAATATATTTCCCTTAAAGAGCGACTCATACTCTACCCATTCCAAACTTGACCCGCCCTCCCTAGGTGATTTTTGAAGGAAGAATTATAAACATGTGGGGGACACTTGCGAATTTTTGGGGAGCGGTCAGACAAACAAACTCTGGTTTATATCCGGTGTGCAAAACTTAAGGACCGAAGTTGTATGCTATACGAAGTTAGCGAGACTTTTCAATCCTCTATCCTTTTTTTTTCAATGACCATGGCAAATTCCACGGCTTAGCGTTCGGTCTGCATCTCATGGTACGCCGAAACTTCAACGGAGTGCCCAACCTCTCATACAGCTAGGTCGGACATCCGGTGATGAGCATCGCGGTTCTTCACATTTTCAAACGCTCCGTGGCCTACCGTGCACTATTGAAAAGCCCAACTGAAGTAGTCTTTGTTGTGACCTCCCCACAAGTTCTGAGATCTTGGATCTCAGGTAAACGCAATTAAAATCAAAACCGGACTGCAATATTCCGGCTTGAAGCTCGAGAAAGGTGACCAGAACGCTGGAGTTCCTAAACACAGCCATGTGGAGAGTGGTCGGATAACAACTGCTCACAGTCCATTATAAGTTGCATAGCACCACTGCTCAATCCAACGGGAGGAGCACAGCAGAGACAAAAAGTTCAAAGAGCTGGTGTCGAGGGCCGAAAATGGGGATTATGCGGGCACCGTTTTCATCGACGACAAAATTCCTCTCATGGAGCGGAGCTACAATCTTCAAACTTCGAGGATGCCCGCATGAGGTCTTGAGGAAGTCAGTGAGAGTGAGAGGAATATCCGCCACAAGCAGCAGCCGAACCTTTTCATGCTCTGGACAGGGGTATCAACTACCGGTCGCTCACCATCAGTGCCTGTTTATAAAGGAATACAACTTGATACTAGATCGAGCCAAGGGACATTTCAAACATCTGTTACTGAGGTATCTAGCCTTTTTGAAGAGGGTGATGATCTTTTCAATAGGGCCCAGCTTCTGCATAGGAGGCAAAAATTGTTCAGGAGCGCTGTTAAGGCACTCTTTCCAATTTCACATCCTCAAACGAATGGCTCTCCTATCCTGTTGATTTCAACGGGCTGAGCCATTCTATGTGGGCTATGTTAGAGGGAAGAGCTGCTCTAGATATTGCTAAATCTACATGAAAATTAGGAGTCTTTCCAATGCAGCGAAGTTTCGAAGGGGAGACACCAGGATGCCATGCGGGCCACAGTAGAGTTGCGTTCGAGCAATTGGGAGCCATACTCACAACAACAGGGGAGCATATCCAATGAATGTCATTCCTTTCAATATGTAAATGTATTGCTAAATTTTTACAAAACCTCTTGGAAATACATCCATTTTGAAAGAAGTTACAAGCAAAGAAAAGTGGTGCAATATTTATGGGACACCTGTAGTATGATAGGGGGGTGATCTATGGTCTATTCAACCCCCATTACCTGGTTTTTTGGATGTTTTTGGACGAAAAACGCCTATTTTTTCACGAAAAATTTTACTTTAAGCGCGCACGCCCCGCCCACTGGGGGAGTTTAGCATGGCCAATATTCCCCTTATAGAGCGGTAAGTACCCTATTAAGGCCCTATTTTTCCCTTGTCTTTAGACTGTTCTGAAGCCAAAAACTGCAATTTTTTCACCAAATTTTTTTAATTTCGACGCACGCCCCGCCCACTGGAGGCGGAGTTCAGCATGGCCAATATATTTCCCTTAGAGAGCGACTCATACTCTACCCATTCCAAACTTGACCCGCCCTCCCTAGGTGATTTTTGAAGGAAGAATTATAAACATGTGGGGGACACTTGCGAATTTTTGGGGAGCGGTCAGACAAACAAACTCTGGTTTATATAATAGTATGATAGGGGGGTGATCTATGGTCTTGCTGATCTGATGACACGTTCAAGAACTGCAAGAATCTATGCCTTCAACAAGGTGCTAACGCTTAGTTGGAAAATGGGAGGAAAAAACTTCAAACATCATAACTAAAATGGAGACACCAAGCAGAATGGTGTGGCCACAGCGGTAGCCGAGTCGTTCGAGGTCTATGTCTTCCCTGCGAACAGGATCGGCTATCGGATCACGGCTTTGAGAATAGGCACTTGACAGCGTTCTCCTTATATGCACCGCAAGCCTTCATAAGATATGATTCTCCATGTAATGGCCCAAACTTCTGAACTCAGACATACGAACAGCTAAATCGTTAACCAACACACTACTAAGACCAACAGAAATGGAGAAATGAATTGGAGAAAGAAGGGTAGAACCAGGAAAAGCAGCGGATTCGATGAAAACGAAAAATTAACCATAGCGAGAAGAAGAAGTGTCAGACCCACGGTGACAGGTCAACTGACGAAGACTACCAGCCACAGCGAAAACGTTGAAAAGTAGCTCAGAAATCAGTGTTAGTAGGACGTTGCCCGAAAGTGGCGCGCCGAACTCCCACCCCAAACTGGTGGTCAATATACGAGAGCTACCGATAGCGAACGCCCTCTGCCGACGAAGCCATTCTGATCTAGGACTCTATAGTGGGGTCGTTGACTGGGTGTTGCTGATCTGATGACACGCAAGAACATACAAGACCTATGCCTTCACAAGGTACTGAGCTTAGTGAAAATGGGGACGGTTTCAAATCTACTACAATAGAGAAGAAACCAAGCAGAATGGTGTGGTCAATGCGTTTAGCGGCTTCAAGACTATGTCTTAACCTGCGAAAACAGATCGCTACGGTTTGAGAATGGACACTTCACGCGTTCTCCTTATATGCACCGCAAGTCCCGTGTTCCACTGGACATGAGACGAGTTTTATTCACCTTTGTCGATCAACTTCACCAGGAGCTACCTGACAAGCAGGTGCTGAGATGGGAACAAGCAAGCCGGGGAAAGGGTCTCTTGCTAGCTAGCGCCTGTCCTGGACTAGCTGCGCCAAATCTGGCAGTCTGGAGAACGCTGTTCTCAAAAAGGGATAGAAGGACGTATAGCAGTGGAGGAAGGCAAACGGAAATCGACCAAGTGCTCGGAATGATCTTTTTTGGGTTGGGCAGGACATCAAGGAGCGCTTGCTGGCGAAGAATGATTCCGCGCAGCACGGCCTCGTCGAGGCCTGCTAGGGATCTCCCCAAGAAAGGCAAAGGTGAAAACCGTGCGGAGAATCCAGTGGTGAAAACTGCACCAAGCAGGGAAGAGCAAACCCAAGTGAAGGGTAATGAAATTTGGTTTCCCAAATCCTGAAGGACCAGTGAACGAACTTGGGGGCAACGCGATCTGAGATCACCCTAACAAGTGCCAGGAGTTACTTGGGCAAAACGCGATGTGGAACCAGGTGAGGCAACGCAGCGGGTTTCTAGACCCACGAAGTGCACGGGTGTTGACAAAAGAAGGGCATTATAGCAAGCTGTTTTTGAAGCATTAAGAATTTAGGAGCTTGCTGTTTACAAGCGTTGTCAAAGACCTTGCTAAGGGGACTCGCCACATGCAAGAACCGAATGGCACGCCTTGTACGAGAAGCTGGAAGCACGACTGTCGAAAAGTTGGTCTGTTAGAGCTACTCCGGCACTGAAATATTTAGGATATCGGGTGGTGAATAAGTTAAACAGCACCCGCTGCCATCATGAGAGAGGCAGCTGAGTTTAATTGAGAAGTGGATCTCGAGGCTTTAGTGAGAAGCTCTCTCACAACGGTAGCTCGCAAGCAGAGGAAAGAGGTGGTCCAATCTCACTAAGGATAGAAAACGAGGTTTCTCGAAAGGCAAGAAAGATGAAGCTGGAAAGGCGGTTGGTCCAAATGTAGTGGCAGTCGAGCTATGGATGGCGTTCCGGTGGCATAATGACCTGAACAACGTAACTCCGGAAGGAATGATGTCGAATGACTGGAGAACAAGAAACTCTCGCCCCCATATTCAAACTAAAGAGGATCAATGTACTGCTCCAGCTACCGGTGGAATCAAATTGTCTGCTTATCATGCATGAAGTTGTGCAGAGCGGCTGGTCTGTGGGAAGTCAATACGGAGCGTACTTTGTTTCGCTCATTGTCAGGGATGGGAACTTTTGACATCAAATCAACATTATTATTGCTTAAATAGAAGTTCTTCTAACGTTTCGCATGAACATAGGTAAGCTTGTAACCAAACGAATTACTCTAGTCAAAATTTTGTAAACAGAGTGGTGCTCATGCGGTGTCGAAACTCGTGGTGAAATACATCATCAAGTTATCCGGTGCCTAATATGAGGTCCTTCCCTACGAGGTCCTTCCAATTCTTCTTTGGGTGTCCTCGTCTTTAGCTCACTGCCATGAACAAAAGTCAACCGTCCGTCGATCAGAACGCAGAAGGGAGGAGGGGAAGATGATCAATCGAATTTTTATTTCAGAGGACGGGGATTCTTACATCTGGACGCCGACACTTTCTAGAACAGGGGTATCGAGGACGATAAGGATCTGTACCTTGGATTAAGCTTGCAGTACAATACAAGAGACACAGAATGGATGGCATGAGCAGGAACGAAAAACTTCAACATGATTTTGATTTAATAGCTGCAGGAGCTGGCTGGACAGACGAAGTTTTCAGTGACAGTACTGCTTACGTGCTTTTCATTAGGATACCCAATTTGCATTTCCAAAAATCTTATATCAAGATCCTTGCGCTGATCCGGTCTGCGTTTACATATACGCTTTTCAAGCGTCTATGAATATAGAGGTAATCATAAATTAATGGAAGCCGTTGACAGTCTGAATTTTTAGCGCTTACAATTGCTAAGACGGTAACTCACATTTACTGCACTTCTTGTTGTTATTCTTCATGTTCACTTGAAATTTATTCAGAATTGAAGCCAACATTCTTCTTTTCTATGTATAGAATCCTTTAGTATATTATTTAGCAATATTCATTGCTCAGTTTGTGTTTATACTGCACAAAACACAATAAACATTCATATTTGTTTATTTAGTAATATTTATTAATTTACATAAAAATAATACTCATGCAAATATACAGGATTACGGTATCGGTGAGATCGTAATGTACATGTGTCTTGCGATAAACAACTAGTAAACAACTCGAGCAGTACCGACAACACAATAATTAGCCCCTATTTACTGCTGATCGACAGCCTTTTGGATTGGAATGGTTCTGGCGGTGACGGCTGGTTTCGGCTTGGGCACCTCGATGGCCAGCTGCTGGTCGGTTAGAGTAGAGATCTCGTCGGCGTCAACATTATGGAAGAGTGCTCGACGGAGGAATGACTGCAAGGAAGGATAAGCAATTTATGAGAGAGGGCGGAGCTGATCTTCGGACACTTAGCGACTTTAATCTGCTGGTGTAATTGAACTTTCCTTGATTTTTGGCATCTTCAATCGTTTAGAGTGTCGCCATCGATGTTTCAATTCTTGCAGTCATCCTTGCTTTATGAACTTCGGACACTCCGTGAATCGCTCAGCTTTTGACCATCGTCGGTAACCTAAAATGGGGGTTTCACTTTCAATGTAGGTACAGACACACGGCAAGGCTATTAAAACCTTTAGACATACCTTGCCTAAATATCCTGCAAGCGCTTTCCTTCCTTCCTTCGCGCAACAGAGTGGATTGGTGGCTCAATCTGGGCGAGCTCGTTGAAAGCGTCGTCGATCTCGCTGAAGACGTCGTCGAGGAGACGAGGGAGGATCGCCGTCTCGCCAGCCCACGGGTGAATGCAGATCGCCATTGTAGATTGCTTCGAAGGTTAGCCTCGAACGCTGGAGTTGCTGTTCTCGGACCTGTCGTATAACTTCTCGAGGATTCTTCGGAACTTTCCAGAACTTCTCGCTCCCGCCGCCTTTTCCCAGTACGTCGCTTCGCGGGTGAGTCATACGGCGAGTGGTGCGGGGACTCGAAGAGAAGCTGGGCCCGCACGAAACACCAAACTACATGCGACTGCCAGAGGTTTCTCGAAGATAACCGTGAGGAGCGTATATAAGGTGCTCATCGGAGCTGCTACTAATCAACTTATTTGTGTCCTTTCTCGAGCAGTGAGCGTTGCTGGTGACTTTTCAAGGTATGTTTTCATCTACAACTGCTTTTCCCTGAACTGCTCTTATCTTCTGTAACAATAACAACAACTATTAAAGCGACTTTTCAGTTATTTCCAATCGATCAAAAATGGATTTGTGTGTAATGCCTCGTCTGATGAATCGTGTGGTGTACGACGCCATGAGGGATTTTGATCGTTTCGAGAAGCATTTTCCCGTACTGGCGAGAGGCTGACCATTCGGTGCTTCACGTGGCCAATGAAACTCAGCAGGTATGTACTTTTTGGCCTAACAGCCTTTTGGTAGCTGTAGGCTGTTTTGAGATTCCATTTAAATTGCAGATTGTTGATGACGACAAGAAGTTCGCCGTCTCTTTGGATGTGTCGCAGTTCCGCCCAGAAGAGTTGAACGTCCACGTGGAAGGGCGCGAGCTAACCATCGAAGGGAAGCAGGAGCACAAAACTGAGAAGGGCGGTATTCAAATAGTGGTCTCATTAACTTCCGCACATGTAACTATATTACTGATTGCAGGGATGTTTTAGGTCATTCATCGGATGGTCGGCGACCGGTGGCCACGCAGCCTATCACGCGGCAGGCAGGCCAGGCCCTCCCAAAGTTGCTCTGCCGAAACGTACATATGAGTGTCCGTAATCAGTCTGAATAAAAGGGCGCATTGTCCGTGGAATCGCCGAAGAAAGCTGAGGGTCATGAGAACAAGAGAACCATTCCCATCATGGCCGCTCCTCACGAGAAGTGAACTCTCGATGATCTCAGTTCTATGGAATGTAGCTGTTTTAGTACTGTACATAATAGAAGCAGTTCTGTCCACCTCTTTGAGCTTGCACTTTAATCTTTATCTTTGCTATTTATTTGTACAGCCGATATTACATAAATTATTTATTCACCTCTATATTTTCAGTACTTTTGTACGAAAAACCTCTGATATTGTGCAAATTTTGTATGTATCAATAAACGAATTTCATAATGACTGCGTGAAAAGCTTCTCATTGGAACATGAAGGGATTTATCGAGGCCCACGTGGCGAGTCAGAGGGAAGCCATTCTATTCTGTGGAAAATTTATGTTTGAGTCGGTATTTGATGCTTTCTCGAAAAGGTACAGCTTACTAGTGAGCCAACTTTCCACTTCATCGACAGTATCGATACGATTTTTTGTGATCTAAGGGAAAGGGTGTTAGGGTGAATGTGTTGTTTCTGGTACTATTATTTTGTTATGGCGCACCACTTTTGGCTTTATCAAACCTACACAACACTCACCAGGAATTTCTCCTAGGTCGTGCACATATTTGTGGAACGCAGTTTTGTATTATATAAGGACACGTGCATGAAACGGCAGAGGCGAAGAAGGCCATGGTGTGATCACTGGAAGAGCAGAAGGCTTTCGATATCTGGGCAGTGTCTCAGTGGATGAAAGGTAGAGGCAGACCAGGCACTAATGACTGGACCTCATTAACCCTGCATCGATGAGATAAAGGGAGGCCACTAGTATTCTTCATGGTAAATGGGGCTCCAGCATGCTCCGAAAGCGAGATGCTCAGTTGTGAGGCTCACGTGCTCTACAGCAGCTAGTCGCGGTCCATAAGCAGGTACTATGGAGGTGGCTTTACGCTGCTGAAATGGGCCTAGGCGCAAGCTTCGGGGCATGGGCAGCCTATGAAAAGTAGGGTAGTCTTGAAAACTGCTCCACTCCAGTTGAGTTTATGAGGGCAGGGATCGCGTTGGTATGGACGCAGGCTAGGATGGTTACAGGACTGCCCTATATGAAATGCAATCGACTTCAAGGGCACAGATCACGAGAAGCCCAAAAGAAGTGCTGGGACGTTGTAGGAAGGGGCAAGAGAGCGGTGCAGATGATGAAAAGGATAGGGCAACTAGCGATGGTTTGCGCGAGCAAGAGTTTCAGCAACGGTGCAAGATCAACCCTAGCGAAAAGAAAAGCTTTCCTACAATGACTTTATGGTTACATAGTGGTCCCTATTGTATACAAAAATGACGATAATAGGGACTGGCAAGCGATTATTAGCTGGCAGCCCATATGGGCTGCCATCGTCCCACGAGCACACGTCTTGGCAAGCCATAGGGGCTGCCGCCGGACGTGAATGTGTTAAAGTAAGTTTTCTGAGGCTGAAACTTGGCGCACAAATTATGCCTAGTCGTGATGGTTTGTTTGTTTCACTGAATTCAGGGCTTCATCACTATCCAAACTCACCCTGCACTTTCTTGAACCGTTGCTGGATCCCTTGCTTTTGCTACCCATCGCTACTTTTCCTATCTTCCTCATCGTCTGCCATGCTACTGATTCCAGTGAAGCCCTTTCTGTGACGTCCTTACATCTCTTCATTTGGGCTTCTCGTAATCATTGCCCTTGAAGTCCATTGCTTTTCATATCGGGCAATCGTGTAACCAGTTTAGCCTGCGTCCATACCAACGCAATCCCTGCCCTCATAAACTCGGCTGAATGGAGCAGGTTTCATGCCTATCCTTACATTCTCGTTCAATAGCCTGGCCATGCCCTGAAGCTTGCATCTTGGCCCATTTCAGCGACTTCGTTTTAGCCGTATGAAGCCACTTCCATGGTACTTTCTTATGGACCACGACTCGCTACCATAGAGCACGTGATTCTCACAACTGTGCCTTTGAGCATGCTGGAATCCCGTTTACTATAAAATACCAATGGCTTCTCTTTATCTCATCGATGCCGTTATGTGATGCAGGCATTAGTGCTGGTTAAGGTCTTTATACGAAACGGGGCCAGGATCGCGGCCTTCTGCTCTCTAGGAGGCAGAGGCTCGCGAGTCTCACCATGTCCTTCCATGCCTCTGCTGTTATCCATCAACACCAACCGTTTGTACAGTAGGTGCTGATGGATAGCATACTTCCAGTAAATGCCATGATAGCTTGTTCGAAAGGCAGGAATTCAGTGCAATGTGAAGGGGCAGAAAAGATGATTTGAGAAAAGTGGTCACGGCTGGAGGGTGGTGCGGTTTCATTCCCGCTATAGAACGTCATCGTTGGCCTAATACCCTCATCGCACTGAAGATATGGTTGGAAATGTTTTGAGAATGACGTTCAAGGAAGTCATCAAAATCACAGTGCCTCTAATCATCAACGCAAAAAGGTTTTAGGTCGTGCCCCGCCTTTTTGAAGACGGCTTTTTGTGTGATAGGGGGCGAGTGATATAGCACTGAACTATTCAGTTTTCGTGGGCGGCTCCCCTGGTCCTAATAGGGTTAGCAGAACTCAAGCACCACCGCTTTGGCACCAATTCTTAGCAAAAATTTACTCATGTATCATATTGATGGTTCTAACGGTAATACGGCATTCATCACCACTTATGCGCCCATTTGGCGACATAACGCAAGTGTTAATCGAAAATGATAAACTTTGCCACCATGGGGATCGTACCATGAACCGATCTTTCACCCTTTTTCTGTCGTTTAGAGGGCCGCACAGGAAAAAATAGAACAAGTACTATGTTTCATTCAAAAATTTTACGACTCCCTCTCCCTTCTAGAGGGCCTCGATACGACCCCCCCCCTCAGGGTCAACCCTTCACCACCCTCGCCTGCCATCGCCATCATGGGGCTCATTCTATAGTATTCGATTCTGAGACCAGTCGACACAGCCCAAACTCCGCCCACTTTTTCCTCCAAAATGCCTACCACGAAACCGCAAACATTCGCTCACTTCCCCCCTATTTCACCATCATTTCCACTGCAACATTTCCTGAAGGGAGGGCTTATAAAATGCGCGCCAACCAACTGCATCATCACTTCCCTTACTGTAACATTAACCCCACCTCGCGAAATACGACCCCCACCCCCACCTCTCGTTGGACGAAGTCCAACGCACGGTTGACCCCGCCTACAAGAACCTTCCTGGTAAGTATTGTGAGGTTCCTCCTAACACTCTTTACCGAGATAACAATAAATTCCTATCGATATTGCCGATAACGTGGACTGGTTGGCTCTCTAGTGAGCTGCACCTTTTCGAAGAACTATTAAATGGTTACCGACTCAAACATAAATTTCCCACAGATTAGAATGGTTTTCCTCTGACTCGCTACGTGGGCCTCGATGAATCCCTTCATGTTCCAAGTGGAGCTTTTCACACAATCATTGTGAAATTCGTTTATTGATTACCATGCAAAATTTGCACAATATCAGAGGTTTTTCGTACAAAACTACTGAAAATATGTAGGTGAATAAATAATTTATGTAATATCGGCTGTACAAATAAATAACAAAGATAAAGGGCAACTCAAAGAGGTGTACAAAAGTAGTTTCGTT